AGAATGTTGAATCCAGCCAGGGCATCAGGCTTACCGGCAGATAATCCAGAAGATGAAGGAAGCCACAAAGACAAGGTCATGGGCCTGGCAGCAGGACAATTAAGGAAAGAGAGGTATGGCTTAGGCTGGATAGAGATCTGAATAGCCAGAGCTAGTGGATAAAATATAGTAGACTCCCTGGAAAAAATTAAACCTAGAATTACATATAATCCAGCAGTTTCACTTTAGGTATATGCACCAAAGAAGTGAAAATAGAGATTCAAGCAGATGACTGTGCGTAGAAGCATTATTCACACTAGCCAAGAGGGAGAGGCAGGCCAAGTGTTCATGGAGAGATGAATGGATTTTTTTGAATGTGGTATGTACACAAAATGTCATAAAACCTAAAACCTGAATCCTGATACATGCTGTAACATGAATAACCCTTGTGGACATGATGCTAACTGAAATAAGCCAGTCACAAAAGGATGAATACTGTATTATTCCACTTATATGAGGTACTTAGAGTAGTCAAGTTTCTAAAGACAAAAAGTAGGACAGTAGTTTCTGTGCTCTGGGGAAGGAAAGAATGGGTACAGAGTTTCAGTTTGGGAAGATGAGAAAGTTCTGAAGATTAATAGTGATGACAGTTTCACATTGTGAATGTACTTAGTGTCACCGAACTGTACAATTAAAACTGGTTAAAATGGGGCCGGGGATTTATCTCAGTGGTTCCACTGCCTGCCTCACAAGCACAAGGTCCTGAGTTCAATCCCCAGTACCCCCCAAAAATGGTTAAAATGACAAATTTTATGTGGTATATATTTTACCCCAATGAAAAAACATGATAGAGTGAAAGCTTAGGTGCCCTGGTGCTGCTGTTAGAGTGAGCGCTGCAGTTAGATAAGAGAGGCATCGACAGTCATAGGCAGAGAATTGTGTTTTGGAATTTCAGACTTGAATGGTGAAATAATTTCATAGTATTGCAAAGTCTGGGCCAACGTTTCTCATCTACACATGAAGGAACTAAACACCCAGCCAAAGACAAGTAACATGGTACGGGGTGAGGGAGTGCATAGGGGAAGCCAGGGATGAGGACATGTGTGATCTTCCAAGGTGACTGTGACATCTTCTGTCCATCTTTATCTCCCCCAGGGTGCTGGAGTGAAAGGAGAAAGTGCAGCTTTGGTATGAAGATGGTCAGGGCTATAGAGTGGATGTATCAACTGCATAGGAATTAAGGTGGCCAAGGACTGATAGCAAAGCTCAGAAAGGCAAAGAGGACCATAGCAGAGCTGTTAATAAGATGTGGAGATACACAGAGGATTGGATAGCTGGGATTCACAGGCCTCGAAAGGTGGCATTTTCAGTTCAGGATGGAGGAAAAATGGTTTGCAGTGGCTTATAAGGAAGTGAAAAGAATGGCTACTCTTTCCCAGATGCCTTTTTCAGAAATAATTGTAGTACTCCAAAAATGACCTATCTCCATTTAAGAGATTATGTGAAGTAAGACCGTGGGACTGCGGCTCATTAGCCCCAGCCTCATACTAAAATCATGTGAAAAACAATTTTTTAAATGTATTGGTGTCGGTTGAAGCTAAATCTCTGGGGGTAAGGAAAAGGACCTGTTGGTAGTTGTCTAAATTTCCCCACGGGACTCTAACAGACAGTCTGAGGTTGAATACCACAGCCCTAGCAGAAAAGCCTGGTTTTGGTTAAGACAAACAAGTAGACAAAATTTAGTCCAAGCAGGGCTGGGGACTCAAGAAAATGTAGGAAAGGTGCCAGAAGACAATAGTGAGGGAATGAATTTGAAAGATGGAATGCAGAGAAAACAGCCCTCATCTTTGAAGAGGGTAAGGAGTATATGCGTACATGGCCTTCACACTTCAAATTTAACTCTCATCCCAAGTCGTTTCCATCCAGTTATCTGCTGGATAGACAGATGGACACAGACTAGTTCAAGGTAATGTTTGCACACACCCATTGTGCTAGCAGTTTATAGACACAGCGCGTACCTAGAGTTAATGCTATTAACTTTTCTAACCCTCAACATCTTACACAATAAAATAGAGAATCCTCTTGTAAGAGTTGAATGAGAAATGAAAAGAGTAGATATATGTGGATAAATGAGAATTACCTCTACAGGAAATGCCCTCTCTTTCCTTAGGAATAGGCCAGTGGGTAGGTTTTAGGACTCTTACACATTTGGTGTTAGGACTAATTTCACATGACTTGTGGCATGTGCTTCCAACTTTCTTTTCTCTCTAGTATATGAAGCTTTTCCGAAAAGGGAGCCTCCTTTTACCCCCCATCCCCAGCTCCACTTCCTAGTTGCACCCTGGCTCAGGACGTGTTAATATTACCTGACAAACCTATCAGAAGCAGACTTTGGACCTCAAGGGTTCCTTCTTCACACTTTGTTTCCAAAATCATTTTCCTTGGGCCGGGAATTTAGCTCAGTGGTTTCGCCGCCTGCTGCTCAAGCTCAAGGACCCGAGTTTGATCCCCGGTACCACACACACACACAAAAAAACCCAACAAAATCATTTTCCTTGCTGAAGACTTCTTCTGAGTAAATTAAAGAGAAGATATATATAAAATGAGGTGTATTTTTCTGTCTGTGCCTAGACTAAAATGGATTGGGCATAGAGCTGGGCATGTATCTTAATGGGAAAATGCTTGCTTAGCATTCCCAGACCCTCTGTTTGATCCCCTGCATCACACACACATACACACACACACACACACACGCACTTTTTAAATAAAACTCTATACATAAAATAGAAAATGATGACTGTATTGTAATGATCAAAAAATATTTTGAGGAAAAACTTTTTTGTATATAGTCATATAATTACCTACTTGAATGTAATTCTATAAAACAAGTCCCAAAATATTTTTCCTAAAACTTTAAATTTTAAAATAGTCATAATATTTATGATATTTTTAATGTGCTTAGCTCATTTATATTGGACTAGGCTTTATTTTCCTTACTATATTAACTCAGGAAAAAGTGGGAAGGATGGTATTTTCCGTTGTCCCAGTGGGCACCAAGCAACAGAGTAGGTACTGAAGCAACTCAAATTGTTACATCTGGGCACAAGATCTACAGTTGCCCCCTTCTGTTAGTCCTTTTAGTTTCAGAAGTCAAAGTTATCCAATATTTACAATTGTTTCGAGCTGTTTGTATTAATTAGAAGGTAGGAAATAAAAACTGTGTATCCCTTGTGTATTAGTCAACTTTCCCATCACAGTACCCAACACCCACAACTTAAAGGAGTTTATTTCAACTCACAGTTTTGGGGTCTCAGTCCATGTCCAGGTGTCTCCAAAACAGAAAGACATGGTAGAAGGGCATGACATAGGAAAGCTGCCCACCTCCTGGCAGCCAGGTGTCAGAGGGAGAGAGAGAATCTGCAGGGAGATGTGCCCTCCAAATGCAAACCCCCGGTGACATACCTATTCCAACCAGGCCCCATCTTCTTACAACACATGTAGCTATTAATTCATCAGTAGACCTATCCAGTGCTGAGCATAGTGGGCCATGATCCAGTCACCTTCCAAAAGCCCCACCTCTGATTGAGGGTACATTTTAGATCTAAACCATGACACCTTGATAATGGGAAGGCACCTGTTCTACAGAGAGCAAATTGGCTGTATCTTTAAGGCTGAATTAAGTCAAATACAAATACAATGACTCATTCACATCACTAGGTAGTATATGTGTCTGTGTGTGTTTGTATCTGTGTGTGTGTCTGTGTGTGTGTGTGGTATGTGGAATGAAACCCACAGTCTTGTATATGCTAGGCAAATGTTCTACCACTGAACTACATCCCCCAGCCATGATTCATTTTTAAGGCGACATTGTAGTTAGAGACAATGGAATATTGTGTTACAATTCCTATATTGGTATAGAGTTGTGTCCCAGCCTTACTGTGGGCATCCTTTTAGCATTTTGTGTGCTGAAGTTCTATGGCTGACTAAGAAACCAAGCTGCTTCTGCGGCTGCTGCTTCCTCTGCTTATTACAGGTGGGGCTCTCCTTGCACTGCCCAGGGAGCAGGTTTCCTGCCTGGCTCTTTTCCTGCCACGAGGCTGGCGCTTCATTCTTCCTGTTCATTTTGGTGTCTGCAGACAGTGTTCTATGTACACAAGAATCCCCAATAAAGCTTTGGGAATTGATGACTGAAAGAGTAAATGAATGAATTCCTTTCCACAATCTTGTGTATATTTTTTAAGTTTATGTATTTTCATAAAAAATTGTTCTTGTTCTTTAAACTAGGTTTCTTTAACTCCCCTCTCTCCTTCCCCTTCTCTCCCTCTCCCTCCTTTTCTCTCCCCTCCTTTTTTTTTCCTTTCTTCCTCTTTTTCTTCTGGCTCATCTCCTTCTCTCCCTGCACCTGTCTGTCTAAAATGCAAAGACTGCCCCCTTTGCCGTGCAGTCTAGGCTTAAAGACTTCTTGTGAGAACAGAGTTCACCCTCTGTGTTCTCAGCCCACTGAGAAGTTGATGGAGTTGTTTCAGTGGACTGAGAACACTTCACTAACCCATCCCACAAAAGAAACTATCTCTGCAATGTCAGCCTGTCAAAACAGGTAGAATGTCTGAGCAAGACACTGCATTTAGGTCTTGCTTATTGGGGCGATTGCTCCGTGAGCAAATGTATTTCTGGTTTCCTTTCTTCCTAGTGCCAAAATTCCCTCTCACTTCATTAAAATGGCTACAGACATAGGTATAGGATGAAGTAAGTGCCTTTTAGTTGAAGCCAAGTAGATGCATAGTAAACCAGATGTCGAATCCCACGATTAATAGGATTTAGAGAGGTAAATAATGGGTCAAAGGTCACATTGTATCTCATGATGAGAGTTGCATTTGGCTTCTGGGAATCCACGGAGAATTTGCATGTATTCCATGGAGTCACTTTCTCCTCGCTTTGGTCTCTTCTTTTTTCACCTGTTGAGCCAACTCTTCTTCCTCTGCCGCACTGCCCATTTGTGGTGTTCAACTTTGATTTTAAAGGTTTCCATCCCAATAACGGGAGGCCTGGACGTGGTTGCCATGTTGACGGATGATGCTACAATTGCCACCTGGAATAATGAGGGACTGCCCAGTGACAGAATGTCAATTGAAAATGCCACTATCCTAACACATTGTGAACGCTGGCCCCTGATGATAGATCCCCAGCAACAGGGAATTAAGTGGATCAAGAATAAGTATGGAACTGACCTGAAAGTCACACATTTAGGCGAGAAAGGGTATGTGAATTCTGAAGGGGTTGGCTTTGTGTCTAGCTGTTATGAAATGGGTTTTCATATAGTCTTGATTTTTATAAAGTCTTGGCATTTGTTAGAGATTTCTACCACTTTTAAATATTATAGTTTGGTGCTATTTGTTTGCCTTCCCATGTTGCATGTAAAGTATCTCTATTGAAAAGTCATGTATAGGCAGTGTCCAGTCGCTTAAGTTAAAAAATTATATTGAACAATAATTTAAAAAATTATATTGAACATTGTCCAAAAGGAAAAATAACTAAATTTCCTAAGGCTAAGAATGAAAATATGTGTACTATACATACTCCTTCTCTAGAGTGGTTGGCATATGGTAACACAAGAATTGTCAGCTGTACATATGAAATTAGTAGTGTTTATAATTATAGCCCTAAATGTATTCTTTCCTATGGTGGGACCTTAACATGACTACAGATGCCCACATCGGTCATGTTTCATATATCACTCTTGAGAACTAAGTCTGCTCTGAGACTGTCACTGGGTTTTTATGACAGTATTGTCTGTTAAGTAGAAATCTGTCTGTTAATGTTAAGTAAATTATTTTGGACCTAATATTTCACTTTACCCCACAACTTTCTATTCACATGGAAAGTGAACTAAGGAGTACTTATAGTTCTATAGATAAGTATAGACCTTGCTTACCTGAATACTTGGAGAAAACTCTTTTTGGTGGAAAGACTCCTTTTGGAGAGTGGGAATAAAATAAAATAATGGTTCAACATTTTACATGTCTGAACTTAAAGATTTAGAAACTAAAGACTGACAAAACCACAAGACATTTAATATAATTTGAATTTGGGGGGGTCTTTTTTTTTTGACACAGGGTCTCACTGTATTTTCTAGGCTTGCCTTGAACTCACTATGTAATCCAGGCTGCCCTCTAACCCACAGCAGTCCTCCTGCCTCAGCCTCCTGAGTGCTGGGATTACAGCCATGTGCCACCACACCTGCCTAATGAATTTAAATTTATTGCATTTGGGTCATTTACAGTTGTTTCAACCATTGGTTGTTTGTTTGTTTGGGGTACCAGGGATGGAAGTTGGGTCCTTGCACTTGCGAGGCAGGCGGCAGCACCACTGAGCTAAATCCCCAGCCCATCCATTGGTCATTTTTGAAAGCAACTAATTTTCCCTTGGAAAATATGACTATAAGATTTATCTCACAATCTGGTGTCTAATATCTGTCTCATCCAGTTAAAGAATGATACTTTGTTTTTTCTGTTAGTCTCATTGAAATACATACATTAAATAAAATGTAATCATATAAATAATTTTAATTTTTTCCTTGTACTTATTTATGTTTTATCATCTTAATCCTGGTTGAATTTTCAGGTTTTTGAATGCCATTGATACTGCTTTGGCTTTTGGTAATGTCATCTTAGTGGAAAACCTCGAAGAAACAATAGATCCAGTTCTTGACCCACTGCTTGGCAGGAACACGATTAAAAAAGGAAAGTAAGTGTTCTTGAACTTTTAACAGGTCTTTTAATCATCAATAACTGTTTTCTTTAGCCTCACAGGCACAGTCAGGAATCTTCCTGGTGCTGTTTGGATCTCCAGTCCGTAGTACCTACACTCCAAGACCAAATCATCCTCTGCATGACCCAGACTTTCAGACTATGTGTTTGTGGATTTAAGGGGTTTTTTCTACCCAATTCCTGACTTAAGGATCAGAAATTCATTGTCACTGTTCTAAGACTGGTTGCCCCTTTTTTAGTTTATACTGACAATTCTCTAACTTTGGTAATTTGCAAAACACTTTTGAGTATGTTTGCCTGATTTCCATATCATTTGTATGCTTATTTACTTACTATTTGTCTTCACACAGACTTTAAATTGTCACTGTACTTTCTAAACCAGTCTTATAAGTGTATAGTGCTAGCTCTATTTTTTCTAATCTGCTTACATATAACTGTTGAAAAAAAAAGAAAGAGTTCCTTACTGAATCCCTGAAGGCATCCCCTATACTAGCAGTTGATAGATAACTAACAATAGGAAAACACCCTACCTCACCCCCAGTAAACTACGTGTGACTGTCCAAATGGCTACCATTCCTTCTGGGACACTACAGTTTCCAGAACATTCTCCCAAGGTCATGGAAGTCAACTCCAAGGAGTCATCATGTCACTTTTCTATAAATGTGTGAAAGGTCAGTTGTAGCAGTTAGGTCTCAAATTGAGCCTGAGTGGGCCCAAGGGAGATTGTGGCTTTCCAGAGTCTCCTTATGCTTCTTCAGTCAAGAAATCAACAGTCACTGAACTTACTTCATTGGATTTACTGCTTTTTTTTCTGTTTGTTTTTATTTTGAGTTTCTACCCAGAGGTATAATTTTAAACTTCCCTAAACTCGTTCTTCTTTAACGCCTACTCTCAACTTCTAAGGTATCTGTCTCCTTTTTCATCACTTGACTATTCCTGTCAAGTGGAAATGGGCCTCCTTAAGAGTGACTTAACTTCTGAGTCTAACCAATTAGTATGGTATTTATTATACAAGTCACCCAGTAAATCCATTTAGAGTGACTGACAACTTATAATTGTTTAATAAACCCAAATTTACCCAGACATGCATTTGAACAATCTAATAAGCCACTTGACAAACTACAACTCTTAACATAAATATAATTGTAGCTGTGTCTGATGTGTTAAAAATACAGTGTAAAAGCTTGAATGTCACTAATGTGAAATCCTTATTATTAAGGCACTGACTCTATTATGAAGACCTAAAATTTTTGTCAGAAAAATACATATTCTCTGAGCTTTAACTTCAATAGCACAATTTAAGTGTAAGAGATTTGATGATTCTCCATCACATATATTTGGATAATCTGAAATTTCCGAAGAGGTGTGGATTTTCCTCAGTTTGGATAATTATGTATCAACGAGAATTTGAGATTTCTTTGATTTTTAGGAACAAAGAGTACCAAGTCTTTACCATAAAATCAGTCCATAATAATTTATCTAAAATAATATTTGCTGAATATGCACCTCTTTTAGGCCTTATAGAGCTGATTGCATTATTTCAGAATTTTTTAAAAGCCCAAGAAAATCTAAGAAACATTCTAAGAAGATAGAAAATGGTAATTATTGGATGAAGTTTTAAATAATCCTGGCTGATAAACTCTAATATGTGGGGATAAATACTTGTTTGAGAGGGGTGAATTTTAGCTCTGTTTCTTTAGGCAGATGATTTTAATATCTTTACAGAGAGATTACAGATGCTACTGGAGCCCATTTATATCCTATGAATCACTGAACTGGAAGCTGCGGGTTAAAGTGTGGTAAAGCACAGACCTTACATTTAGGGAAGCTAACTTCCTTGGGAGGAGGCAATACAACAATAATATTCTTTTATAAACAAAAAAGGAGTGCAGTGTCACTGGCATGATGATAAAAATATATACAGCAAAGAGTCCACAATGGAAACTTGAAAAGCCTTTATGAAAAAGTTATATTTGATTATGATTAATGTGTAATGTGAATCTTGAAAGATATGTGAATTTCAAAAAATCAGCATTTTTCAGGCAAACAGGTGAAAGAAGAGAATCATAAAGAGCTTCAGTTCAAAGTAGGAAAACGTGTGAAACAACGCAGTTTTAGAAAACTGCAAGTACAGTCCAGGTGGGAGGAGAGTCTGTGCCGGGAAGGTGACAAGGGAATGTGCATGAAAGAGATGAGACTGAAGAAGTAAGCAAGGCGAAGAACATGGATTTCCTTGGTTGGCCTTTTCTTATGCATAATTCTTCCTCTCAACACACACACTGAAGGGGCCAATTCCTACACTAGATAACAACTGCTTTTCACCAAAGAGCCAGAGCTCCCCGGAGTTTCCCTATTTTCTTTGAGAATGCTGAGCATAATGAAGATTCTCAAGAATGCTGGACATAATGTGATCAGATTTGGATTTCTGAAAGGCAGTGTTTGCAGTGTGATGTGTCAATAGAAGGAGTATGGACCTAAATAAGGCCAGAGTCCAGTTAGCCAACAATTGCACATACTCAATTGAGACATAATCTGAGCCTAAAGTGAAACAGTGACAGTGAGATATATAGAGGAGAACAAATCAGAGAGATCAAGGAATTCATATCAGTTCATGGTTATTAATTGTATATTGTTAATAAGGAAAAAGGATCAGGCATGAGTTCCAGTCTCCCACCAAATAAATCATAATGTGATTTATGGAGAGAAGTGTTGTAAGAGTGTGAGGAGGGAGGTAATAATTTCTCTAATTAGACATTGAAAGATAGAAGTACTTTTTTTTAACTACCATTCCCAAAATAGTCTCTAAAAAACCATTGGATATATGAGTATGGAGTTTAATAGGGGAATCTTGGCCAACAAGTACATTGGAAATAGCTATGTAGAGAAGATTTAAGCCATTGTGTGATGGGTGTGATTATCTAAGGAGAAACTATATAGTCAGAAGAATAGAGGGTATCCTTTCTTTACATGAGAAATATGGGGAAAGTCTAGTTAATGTCTTCTTGGATGCTCTTTGACTATATGAAATTTAGTATTTGGAGATTAGATGCTTAAATAGCTTTTCCAAATTCATAAGCAGTACTCTTTCAGCTGACTTCCTGAGAGTGCCATTTTGCCAATCTAACTCTTCCTCCTCTACCTTTTTGATTCATTTCCTTCCTGAATCTTTTATATTTTACCATCAGTGTTTTAGAAAGTATGTTTTTCCCGGCTGACTGTATTACTTTTCTCATTCCTGAGACAAAATACCCAACACCCAAAGTTAAAAGAAGCAAGGCTTACTGCAGTTCACAATTTGTAAAGGTTTCAGTTCACAGAGGAGAAACAGTTCATGGTAGGCAGAAGGCAGCAAAGTAGCAAAGAAGCTGCAGCCTATCCCTTTTATTACTTCCAGATTATCTGCCTTTTGGGTGGTGCCACCCCCACCCAGAGTGGAACACCCTTAGTTCCAGCACCATACACCCTAGATCTAGCCACCTCCTAAAACTCACACCCATGAGCACATGAGGCTCTAAACACAAGCCATAGCACAGGGCCTTAATTTCTTCATGCTGACTAATCTCTTTTCATACTTTCTTTGCTCATTTGTCTCTAACCCAGAGTGAATAGAAAATATTTCATCACTTCCTTGTTCCAGAACCTGTTAAACAGTCTCTGTCGTCTCTTACATTGAATTGAATTGAAGCTCCTCTGTGAATCCTACAGGATATTTTACTGTTTGTTTCTTCTGTATTTTCCTTTACCACCCTTGTTTTTCTACTCCTATTTTTTAATTTAAAAATTCAAGATGCTATATTTTAAAAATAGCTTTGTTCATAAATAATTTGAATAGATTTGGAAATTTTAGTGATTGTATTCTTTTCATCTGACAAAAGGTATGTTGTTAAACAGTCAATGATTTCTTGTTTCCTCATTTTACTTATTTTTTAAATAAAAATATTTGTAGGCACACTAGAGGATATGGGAGGAAAGCTCAGACTGGTAGAAATGGAGATTATTTTTCTTTGTTTAAAGCAATAAAAGTTGGGAGAAAACAGTGTAAAAGAAATTTAATAGGAAGATACTACTATAATTTGTTTAACAGAGGTACCTATTTGCAATGTTATAGTAGAAACAGAAGAATTTTGATTTTACCTTGGTCACATCCCAAACTAATTCACATTTTGTAAATTTTCCAGTAGATATTTTAGTTCTGATCTTCAACAATGAACATTTTACTTGATTTTCTGTCCTCTTATTTCAATATTACTCTCTCTGCACAATTACTGGTGGAGCTACCAATGCTTTCCTTTGTATTATAAAGACAAGATGATATTGAAAACAGGAAAAAGAAGAACAACTCACAGGATTGCAAAGCTAGCATATTCACCTAGAATGCTCTTACCATATTCTTCAAGTGCAGATGGAACAACATTTTCATACTCCAGCTAGAAAATCACATCCTTCAGAAAGTTTTCACCTATAAATATTTTTGTTTATTTCAGTTGTTTGAGGACCTTTTTTAAAAACCTCTATTAGTTTATTCTTCCTAATAATGGATGTCTAAGAAATGCCTGTGATAGATATAGCATAGTCCAAAAGTTGAAGTTCATTAATAATTGGAATGTTGTAGAGTATGAAGCAATGAATACTAATTACTCCTTTCATACCTGACAGCTCCCTATGGACCAATACATCAGCCCTGACTTTAATTTGGTTCGAGTAATGGTTTCATCAATAGCACATTAAATCTGTGTTTGAGAAGATATACAGTTGAACCTGACCCACACACTAGATGCATCTGTCATAAAATGGCCACAGGCTGATAAAAACTGGGTAATTACAAATAATTAAATCCACCAAACTCCAGACAATCCTAATTTTAAATAAAATATATCTTATCATATCAATTGACGGAAAATTTATCTAGGAAGATTTATCAGCGTGTATTTTTACTAAAGCAAATTTGCTGTTGTATATATTAGAGAAGTAGCTGAT